TTATTATTATTTATTTATTTTTTAAATGTATTTGGTTGTTGCAGGGCTCGGACTACACAGCTTGGACTCATAGTGAGCCTCCTGTTTTCAACCTCCCCAGCTCTGGAATTACAGGTGTGAGCTACCACACCTGGTCTCTGAGGCTGGCTCAGCCCACCCTGGGGTTGGGGCTGGCGCGGCATGTGGTGCCAGGAGTCGAACTGCGGTTCCTGGGCTTGCCTAAGCTTGCCTAAGCAGGCAGTTTAGTCAGCTGAGCTATCCTGCCTGCCTGGTTTGTCTATTATTTTTAGACAAAGTTTTGCTGAATTGTCCTAGCTGACTTTGATCTTGAACTGCCTTGGCCACTTGAAAAGCTGGGATTATAGGTACGTACCACCATGCCAGACTGTTGTTATTTTTGGATTTTGTTTGGTGGGTTGTTTCCTTGGAAGGGTAGAGATCAGGCAGTGCGCCTCTGAGTGCGCAGTGGTAAGCAGAGGGGTCTTCACCGAGGATAGCAAATCGCCTGTACATAGTTAGAGCTTGCTGGGCTAAAAATGGAGCAAGAAGGTTTAAGTGGAATTACAAAACAATTTTTTGGCCTTGTTGGAAACTCATTCAGGTACTTCAGATGGCAGAAAGTAAAATGAAAACTGTCTAGAGGTAAAATGGAATTGAAAAAGAAGTCATGGAAAGTAATTGTAAGGTTGAGCTAAGAATAGTTTTCTGTTTTTCCTTAACACATACTCAGGGGGGAAAAATGCATACCCAGAAGCAATTTCTTCAGAAACTAAACTATTTGTATGATTTTTCATTTGTTGGTGGTTACTTAAAATTTGTTCTTCTTTTAAATTTTTTGTTTTTAATGTCTGTTGATCTCAGATATGCTGAGTGATTAAGTTAAGTGGGACTGGGTTGGAGAGATAGCTAAGTGCCTGCCTGGCAAGTGCGAGGTCCTAAGGTCCTGAGTTTGATCCCCAGTATCAAACAAAGAAAGACAGAAACAAACAAAAAAAGTGTTTTTAAAATTTTGCTCATTTAAAAGTTTGAAAGAGAAAAAAGTGTAGAATTGTGTAGTAATAGTAAGACATTTAACAAAAAAGGTTGCATTAATTCTATTTTTTAATGTAACACTGGGAATTGGTGAACCCAGGCTCTCATGCATGCTAAGCGAATACTCTACCACTGAGCTGCACCCTATCCTGGACTGGGTTAATTCTTTTTTTTTTTTTTTTGTACTGGGGATCAAACTCTGGACCTTGTGCTTGTTTAGGTGCTTAAGCTGTTGCTATGTCTCTCTGGCCCTTTGGTTAGTTGTTGAGACAGGGTTTTGCTATGTAGTTCAGGTAGGCCTTAAACTTAGTATGTAACCCAGGCTGGCCTCAAAATCATGGGAGCCCTGATTCCTCCACCTCCTGAGTGCTGGGATTATAGACATGGACCACCACACCTACCTTGGACTGGGTTCATTCTTAGAGTTATTCCTGTTCATCTGGAAATTCTTCTGAGAACTCTTCTTCTGCTTAATTCTTGGGGAATTCATTGCTTTCTTTTAGTAAAAATTTCTTTCATTTATATTTATTTAAAGATGTCACTGTAGGGCTGGTGAGATGGCTCAGTGGTCTAAAGCACCTACTTAGAACAAGCTAAGCTAAGCAAAGCACAAGGACCGCAGTTCAATCCCCCAGCACCACATGCCAGCCAGCCCTACCCCCTGGTGGGCTGAGCTGGCCACACACACACACACTAAATAAATAAATAAATATTTAAAAAAAAAATAAAGATATCACTGTAGCCATGAGAGTAATTTTAGTGACTAGTTATAACTCTTAAGTAGTGCATTCTTTTAACTAGGAAATAGTATCATCTTTAAAATTCACAGCCTTTTAGATTCAGATTTTTTTCTTCTTTTCCCATTTTTTTGCTTTTATTTTATTTGCAGATTCTAAACTTCCTTCCACCTTTCATTTGTTGTATGAAATAGCATAATGCGGGGCTGGTGAGATGGCTCAGTGGTCTAAAGCACCTACTTAGAACAAGCTTAACAAAGCAAAGGGACCACGGTTCAATCCCCAGCACCACATGCCAGCCAGCCTGCCCCCTGGTGGGCTGAGCTGGCCACACACACACACAAACACACAAATAAATAAAAAATAAATGTTGCTTCCCACTCTTTAAAAAAAAAAAAAGAAAAAAGAAAAGAAATAGCATAATGCATTCATTTATCAGTTATGAAAATATTTATCTAGTACAAGCTATAGACTGATTTCAGTAACTTGAGAACTATAAATTAAAAAAAAATCGACAAAGATCCCTGCCCTTAAGGAACTTACACTTGGGGAGAGGAAATACAGATAATAATTAATGGACATAATAAATACATCATGTGTTATATGTTAGAAAACCAGTGCTATGGGGAAAGAAAAAGAACTGAGTAAGGGGGATGATAAATGTGGAAGTTTGGAAGAGGTCAGTTGTAATTTTATTTTATTTGTTTCAGTTGCAATTTTACATCAGTAGGTCAAGATAGCCATTGTTGAGAAGGTAACATCTGATTAGACTGGAAGCAGGAACTAACCAGGTAAAGGGCCATGTAGCGATGACTGCCCTTGAGGGAACAAGTGCAGAGACTCTAGCAGGAGCATCCCGGCCTGTTTAAGCCAGAGTGCGGGGAGGGTTTATGACATGACACACACCCAATGGAGTCCTGTGTAACTAGAGACATGCATCTTTCGTTCTGAGTTAAGATGGGAAGCCATTGGCAGAGCGTAAGCAGAAGACAGATGTGATCTTAGTTTTACAAAAGTACACGCTGGCTTCTGTGTTTAAAATGGATATAGATGGATACTGTTTACCTAACTGCTTGCCTGCCTCCTGTATAAAGTGGAGACAGAAACCTTTACTTCTCAGAGTTGTTAAAAATAATGAAATACTACATAAAGCACTTGGAGCAGGGCCTAGCACATACTAGCAGCTCAATGTTAGCTATTATTATTAGGATTACAATTTATCTGTAGTAAAAAGGATTTTCTTAAGCTGGGCATGGTCCTATACAAATGTAATCCCAGATATTCAAGAGACCAAAGCAAAGGTTTCAAAAGTTCAAGGCCAACCTGGGCGATTTAGCAAGATCCTGTTTCAAAAAATAAATAAATAAACAAAAATAAAAATAAATAAAAAATGGCGCTGGGGGTGGAGCTCCGTGGTTCAGTCCTTGCCTAGCTTGTGTGAGGCCCTGGGTTATATACCTCTAGTACCACAAGAATAAACAAAATCATTTTTCTCAAGTCAGTGAGCAGTCTTTGTAAGAAATCATTAGGAAGCAGCAGGAAATGGGTATATGTTGTATTGCAAACTAAATTTTGATATTTTAAGCTCTAGTCTAATTTTACTATATTGATTCAAGTTTATGGAAATTCAACATAACAAACCTCCATGACACTTCACTGTTAAAAATGGTTGAGAAAAGTTCCCCAAGAAAATGATATTTAAATTGAAACTTGTAGCTGGTCATGAAGGCATATGTCAGTAATCCTAGTAATTGGGAGGCTAAGGAAGGTGGATCATGAATTTGAGGTCAGCCTGGACTACATAGCAAGTTCAAGGCCAGCTTGGGCAATATAGTATAACCCTGACTCAAAAACCAAAACTAACCAACCGAACAAAGCCCCCTGAAACCTGAAAAGCACATGCCCTAACCTAAAAAAGAGAAAAGAGAATGTATTCTCATACTCTACACTTCCTTAGAACCTGCCACCCTCTTAACTAGAATTGATGTGCCTTTAGAATCTAGCTTCACTGTGGGTTTTGAAAGGCCAGGGATGAAGCATGTGTGTCAGCAGAACCCCTGAGTACTCAGTAGGGCCTTCCCAATCACTGAATGATTTCTGAGAAAGAAATTCAAACATGTAGCATCTGCCAGGGGAGTAATTATAGCCTCCCAAGAGCAGCAATTCTGTTTAAAACCATATGCACAGGAATGTGATGTAGAATAAGAAAATATTTACCTGTCATAAATCTTGGCAATTCGCAGTTCTCCTCTTCCCTTTCGCAAGCTTATTCTTGTTGTTGAAGCATGAGCCAGAATGTGTCCTCCAATGGGTTTTTTGGGGTCTGCCTGAAAGCTGAATTAATAAAACACCTTTTCAGGTGCCATGATATGCAATATATATAGCAGGATTAGTAATGACAAGGCAGTGTTTCCATGGAGGATGGCAGGCTTGGAGTAGGTGTGTATTCTGAACAAGTAGAGGCTTGTTCATAAGCTCTCGAGGGGCCCTGGGGTTGGAGCTACTGTTATACCCCACTGCCACCGAGGTTAGACTTCTGAGATTCTAATGGTGACTAGTTCATGTTTTATTTGACAGTTAAAACAATTACTATTGAGAAAACACAAAATATTTTTTTTTATAATGTCAGATTTAAAAAAAATGTTTTATTTTTTATTTATTTATGTGTGTGTGTGTGTGTGTGTGTGTGTGGCCAGCTCAGCCCACCAGGGGGCGGGGCTGGCTGGCATGTGGTGCTGGGGGATCGAACCGTGGTCCTTGTGCTTTGCCAAGCTTGTTCCAAGTAGGTGCTTTAGACCACTGAGCCATCTCTCCAGCCCCATTTTTTTAAATTAATTATTTATTTATTTTAACATTGTGTGTGTGTGTGTGTGTGTGTGTGTGGCCAGCTCAGCCCACCAGGGGGCGGGGCTGGCTGGCATGTGGTGCTGGGGGATTGAACCGCGGTCGCTGTCCCTGTGCTTTGCTAAGCTTGTTCTAAGTAGGTGCTTTAGACCACTGAGCCATCTCACCAGCCCACAAAATATTTTCTGTCTTAGGATAATTCTGGGAGATAAAAAAATGTTCTTTATAAAAAAGTAATAATTCATTCATCAGAAATATTTTTAGGGCTGGGGAGATACCTCAGTAATCTAATCACCTGCCCGGCAAGTGCAAAGACCTGGGTTTGATCCCTGGTACCACATGCTATCTCGGCCCTGTGCTGTGCCAGCCACTAAAACTGGGCATTGTGGTGCATCCCAGTGCTGGCGAGGCTGAGACAGGAAGATCACTATGAGTCCAAACTGCATAGCAAGACTTTGCACCAAGTAAGAACATAAATAAATCTTTTTAAAAAAATAAATAGTGTTAATGGTCTATTATGTATTACGTGCTATTCTAGTTTAATGAATAAGAAGCACCCAGCCATTTTCCACGATGCTATGTAAATGAAAAGCAGATGGAAGCCGTGCATAGTGGAAATCCCACTAATCCCGGTACTCGAGAGGCTGAGGCAGGAGGACTGTCCCAAGTTTGATCTCATCCTGAACTACATATGAGTTCAAGGCCAGCCTGAACCACATAGCAAAAGAGTTGAGAAAATTAGAAGGCTTCATCATTTTATCAAGCAATTGAAGGTACAATAAAGAAATAAAGCTATCTCAGCTGGGTAAAATCGCTAGAGAGGTAAGATGTCTCGATAATGCTCACAGATCAATGCCACTCTTTTTGAGTGGCTCTGAACTCTTCAGGTCACCCTATTATTGGTGGTTTTTCATGATCTTAAAAGAACCCTCTGTCCTGTAGCAACAGGCTGCTTTGGGCCCTGATGGCATTTGCAACTGGGCTGTAAACTCTGAGCTTGCAAACAATGATTTATGCTTTCCTAATGTACTTTTCATTATCTGCCTTTGGTACTATTACTCACTTGCCTGTTAGGCCTTAGAGTCTTCCACAATCCATCTCCTATTCCCTATCATTAAGCTCCTTAGGAGTGGATGACATTGAACTTATTGCTGTAGCAACCAGCTACTCAGTTGGTACTCAAACATGTTTCCTGAGCTTAAGACATGGAATCTACAAAAAGTTCCAGGAGAATATTGGATTGTAGAAAGATGAACGCTTTCACAGAAATTAAGTACAAATAAAATTAAAACCAGTAGGAAATTTCTTCAAGCGGAGATAAGAAAGGACAGTCAGGATTCACTAAAGGGACAGAGAGACATCTTAGCAGCTGTGTTAGTACCTATCACAGGTGGTCTCTCGATACTGCCATGATCCTCATAATGACACTGTGTGCTATTACCAATGTTATAGCCCATGTTTGTCATTCATTCCTTTGGTGAAGAGCCTGGATGTCAAGAATGTTATCCCAAAAGGAGATGAACTATATGAAACAAAAATGATAGCATTTGCAAGAAGGCTAAGAAAACATATAGGAAATATATTGTAGGATCAAAAAGTTATCAACAATGACTTATAAACTGAAGAGGTTATACTTAACCAAAATAGTGACATAATGTAACAGAAAATGCCCCCCTCCCAGTCAGTATACTTCAGTTTCTTAGTTGTCTAGGTAATAGTTTCTGTTTTAGTTCCAGTTGTTTCTGTCTCTTAGAAACAGCTGGTCACTGTGATGCATAGTTGGTCACTATAAAGCATATTGTATAAATCAATCTCCAATAGATAAGCCATTCTGCTTTTGTATTTCCTGCTCGCTTATCACATAGAAACCCTAGACCATCAAAGATCAGGGCCTGATGTTCTGGGCATGATCCCGATCGTTGCCCATTGATGTAAATAAATCTGCCTCCAAATCCTGGGTATCTTTTTGGTGTTTCTGTTTGCCATTGTATCTTGTGTGCTGACTGGGAAGACTGTCCATGCTGACCTCTTTGGTCACTGGTCTTGCATGGCGCTTGAGGACAAAGCAAGGAGCTCTCCAGGTCCTGATGGGAAGGTGCACGCTCAAGATTTTTGAGTCTCCTTGGAGATCTGGAGGAGGATTCCTGGCTCCCAACTTGAGCAGATCACATCTGACCCCAAAAGGAGGAGGAGGCAATCTGTCTGTCTACTGGACTTTCTGACTGTCTAGTAAGACCCTTGGAGGTACCCCAGTTAGTCAGTCTGTCAGTCCTGCTCAGTTTGAGCGGAAGATGTTTGATCAACTCTTGTTAGTTAAGGCCACCCTCAAGGGAAGGGGGGTTGGAATGTTTAACCTCTGAGTGCCTGCTAAATGAATATGTGAGTGGGTGGACTGGAGAGCGTAAGCAATAGGTGTCTCTGTGCACCACGGTTGGGAGGCACTGTTTACAGTGGCTGATGGGCCCTCGCCTGTGGTTCTGTGGTAATCAAAATATGGCATAAGGGAGGCCTCAGATCCTCCTTAGCTAAGTCATGCCTAAGTCCCCACTAGGGGCATGGTAGGCAGGCGTCTGAATGGCCTCTCCGAATGTGCCACTATTCAAGGGTATACAACACACAGGGAGCCAGAGATGGGAACTACTTAGTTAAAACCCAAAGTCCCTGACTACAGGAAAAAGGGCTTTTACAGAGTCATAAATTAAATCAAACCACTTCCTGCGTCTCAAAGAAAGAAAAAAAAAAAAGGAAAAGAGAGGTTCATTCTTCTTGAGAACGCCATCTGGGCACCTTTGTTGGCTGCCACAGTTATCTCCAACACCTATAGCTTCACTCACCACTCCTGGCTTGTCTACTTCCAGCCAATTGAACTGGTTCCAGCTAGCCACTGTCTGCATCCAGCCACAGAGGCCCTCCCCCAAACTTTCTGCTTCACGGCTGTGCCTAATCTGGTCAGATGGCGTCATATAGGTGAGATGGCATCATACAATGCCCGCTCAAGATGACTGTCAGCAGTTCCTTTGGAGTTCCATATTTCAAATGAGGAATAATTAGGTTGTCAGCCCTGATGAATGACCTGCCATCGCCTTTTCCAAAGGTTGCCCTGCCTAGAAACCTAAATCAGTCAAATGCTTCTCCAAGACATCAAAAAGGGAGCAAAAAACTGATCAGTTACTGAGAAACCTGATAAAAGCACCTGATGTCTATAAGAAAATTTAGTCTGATACGCAACCATAACCTGGATATGAGTTATACAGACTATGGGCACTAAAAAGTAAATGCCCATTCAGATTTAAAAATAAGAACCCTCAAAAGCTTCAATCTAGATCAGATGACAATCCTTTCATGCTCTGACAGGCTTATACTAGGCCAGACCAGGCTCCCTTCTTCATCTGGGCCACTGGGAGCACATAGTTCCATCACTGGGGCAACTAGGACTCTTCTGCCAGGTGCAAATTTGCGGCCTGGAAGGACACCTTCTGTGTAAGCTAGTTCCCATACTGCTTCTGGATGAGACCTCCTCTTCAAATTAGAAGTGACTATCTCCCTTGCACCAAGCCAGCTATCATTTAACTCTGCACTTTCAATGCTGTTCCCCAAGAAGATTACACCTGTATCAGCCTGAAGCAGATAACCACGATCCTGAAATTCTGAATCCTGTACTCCTAGAAGCATGAACTAATGATTCACCACTGGGCCTGGCCATTAATCATGCTGCCTCACTGCGATCCCCACCCCCACTGCTGTCAGATGCCAGGGGAAGTGGCATCCCACCACACATCAGCCTGATAGACTGTTAATCTCCTTGGGCAAGATCTCTGCGCCATCAACAATGCAGCCATCACCTTGCACTCTGCAGTTCTGGACCCGTGTACCTTTTCTGGACTGTTCTAGACTTACAAAATAACTTTCTCTGCTTGCGAGTTGCTCCTATAATCCTTTTAACTGGGGAAATCCTGAGACAAGAGGTCAGCTCAATTGGGCTCGATTGCCATTAGGGGTTAAAAACTCTCCTACTATTTTCTGGAGGCCCTAGCCCCTTAGAGAGAGAAAAATGAGATTTCAAAACTGCAAAATGTCTGAAGACTATCAAATTGCTATAATATATCTCTCCTGCCTGTAAAGCCAGTTCAAGATCTCCAAGCCACCAACACTACCATGGTTGCCCTCTGTGTATACTGCCTCAGTCTCCTGCCACCCACAGCCTGCTGGTACCTGCCTGGACCTAAGGATGCCTTCTCCTGTCTTCATTTGGCTCCTGTCAATCAGCCCCACTTCCCAGCTGACTCGCACTCAACCTCTCAAAGGTTTAAAAACTTGTTTACTGTCTTTGGAGAAGCCCTTATACCTGACCTCACTAGTTTCCCAGAATGACAGTCAAGCTGCCTGCTGGAAAGACACAAAAGCTCCACTACAATATCTGGCAAAACTGGTTATAAGAAAGAAACTCAAGGCCAAAGAGATAGCTCAGCAGACTAAGCACCTGCTTAGGC